TGGCCTTTCGCAGGGGAGAAGGGGCAGCGCGAGGAAAGTACGAGGACGTCGCCACGTGGCCCGGGGTGCGGTCTTGCCTCTGTGGGCGAAGGAGCTGCCGCCACCTGAGGCCTGCTCTTCCCCTTTTGGGGTTGCGCTCGGAGCCCACCGGCCGCGCTGCCCCGGGAGAGCGTGAGCTGACCGGCCTGAGCCTGCGGAGCCTTCTGCAAGGCCTTTGACTCAGCGGCCTGCAGTTTGAAAGGCACTTTGAGCTTTTGAAATCTTTTCCCGTGAGAACGCCTTTGCCTTTGGTGCTTCTGAGCAGGGAGGACAGCACATCTGACTTCTTTCCGGAGCAGTTCTGGGTGGTCATTCAACTCCCAATTTAATCGAAAGCCAACAGTTCTAAGGGTCAGGGTGCTACCGGCTGTAGGAAGCCGACTGTGGACAGATGCGGATAATGGTTTGAGTGAATTAGCGAGTCTGGAGAGGAGAGCCCATCCGCAGAATGACAAATTTAGGATCTTTAAAGACATCTGGTCAGCGATGCCAGAGCTCATGATGGAGCGAGTGATTAATAATGGAAACCCCTTAGTTCAGTGTTTCCGTCGTCCCTCGCCCACTTCCCCAGCCAGGGCCGGCCGTCTGTTCCGCCTGCCAGAGACCTTTCCAGCTGAACAATGGGGGCATTTGGGCCCTCCTCTTTGACCTCGGCTTGTGAGTCTAAGGTTTCGGGTTTTCTTCTGCTTACTCAGCCCGTCTTCTCGTTTTCTGACTGTATTGAGAAGGCCCCGGTCTCACGCACTTTTGATACAATGCCATTCGCCTTCACTGATGCTTACTGGGGGCCGGCAGCTAGCCGAGCCTGGGCACCCCAGGCAGCGGGCTCACGGTGCTCCAGCAGGAGCCTCCCTCCCGTACATACCCGCAGCAGGGCAGTCCAACGGAAGGCTGCCGTTGCCCCCTCTGCTCTCTGGAGCCCCCACGCCTCAGGCCCCATCTAACTCTGTGGTGGATTCTCTCTCCAGACTCAGGCAGCTGGATAAGCACAGCCAGGCCACGGCCCAGCAGCTGGTGCAGCTCCTCAACAAACAGAACCAGCTTCTCCTGGAGAGACAGAACCTATCGGAGGAGGTGGATCGTCTGCGAACCCAGGTATCGTGCTGAATCCAGTGCAGTGGGCGTCCTTGGCCGGCTCAGCCCACCAGAGACCATGCAGGAACCTGCAGATGGGTCTTTTTCATGCATCTTAACAGGTGAAATCCCCACTGATGGCACTGGTCAGCCAGTCAGCCGGGAAGGAGATCCTGAGGACTGCTGGGTCCCCTGGGCCCCGTGGGGGCCACAGCAGTGTGAGCCATGGGCCTGTCCTTGGAAGGGAGCTAATGTGCATGCAGGTGAACAGGCCCATGCTCGCGAGTCAATAAGCCATGCCGAGTGCTGAGCTGCGCCATGCAGGCTGCACCGGCCAGGGCACGAGAGGCGGTTGAATGGGTAGGATGACAGTGGTCAGGGCAGACTTTTTGGAGGAGGGCGGCCTTGAACTGCCCCTGAAGGCTGTGTATGGTTTGAACTGCTTGAGGAAAGAGGTGCTCCCAGTTAGGGTAGTCGTCATGAGTGGAATGCAGGAGGCTTGTCCTAAATTAGCTGAAGCTAACTGGGCTACCGTCTGGCTTGTGGCACTCCTGGCAGTGTCACACATGCATTCACCCTCTTCCCCTTCACACGCTGGTGAGATTGACATTATTGTCTCCATTTTACAGATAGGGAAACTGAGGCTCAAACAAACATACACAGCTAGCAAGTAGGGATACCACAGCCCATGCTTTCCCTATTCAGGTTAGACCTGGGACCACCCACAGGAGAGTGGAGGAAAGAAAGTGTCCAGGTGAATTTCCAGTGTGGAATGAAACCTTTGTATCTAAATTGCTTCCTTCCTGTCTAGTGGCTGTGCTTTTTGTCCCATTAAGAAATTTTTTAGGATCATGAGGTGGTCCGTGGACTGACTGTGGCCTCTGCCTTTAATTAGGAATGGACCCAGGTGCTCCGTGGGTACCCGGGGACTTTGCCTAGTAAGTGCTTGGCATGAGGACTAGGAAAAACGCATCCAGAAATGAAAAGGCACAGGAGTTGCTTCTCACTCTCCTTTTCAGCCACCCCGTGCGGGAAGGTTATCAAGGAAACTGTCCGTACTGACTTCTCCTCCCACGTCCCTTGGCAGCATGTTCATTTGTTCACAGACAGTAAGCGAACACAATGGTACCAGTCACCGAGCTGAGGCCTGGAGGTGGAAACTTGCTCTTGCTGTCCCCATGCTGCTGAGACCATCACAGGGAAGGTGGCGAGTGTGCGCCAAAACGTGGAGCTGTGGTCCCACCACAGTCTTCCGGGAAGCCAGGCCTCACCGCACACACTCCAAGGAAACGTGTCTGGGAGCAAAGCCTAGGAACCTGCATTTTCGCAGGCTGATGGGTGATTCTGGAGGACGCCGTGGTTGGAGCCAGAAAGAACAAAGAACAAGTCTAGACTGTGTCATTGTGGTTGGGCCCTGGACAAGTCACCTAAGTCTCTTCTGAGCCTCAGTTTCCTCATCTGCACCGTGGGCTTAATCCCCACCTAAGTCAAGTAGGATACCGGAAGTGTCAAATGAGGGCAGCCGTGAGGCGGTTGGCAGGATCCCAGACACACAGTAGGCTGGAGAAATTCCTTCCCCACCCCCCGCTTTCCCAAGACCGTTCTGGGAGACACCGGCCAGGAAGAAGCACCGGGAGGCGGAGGACCTGCAGCGCCAGCAGTGAGCTGCCTCCTCCTCCCTCCCCTGCTTCCAGGATGGGCCCCTCGTCCTCCGCCCGACCCAGGCCAGAACCCAGCTGTGTGGGCACATGCTCAGGGAGGGCAGCAAGGATGCCAGCTCTAGACCTGGCCAGCCAATGATCAGGGCTGCTGAGGCCACCAGGTCTCCTGGCGGGTGACCAGGCCCTTGTCACAAGGACAGCGGGACCGTGGCTCATGTCATGAGCGAATCTTTTGACCTCTGAATCCAAGAACTATGTCAGAATCCGGGTTGGGGCGGCTTCTGCAGAAGCTTGGAGCACGAGGCAGTTTCCTGCAGGTTCTGGACGTGGGCTTTCTCTTAACTCCCCATCTGCCTGCTTTGCAGCACACTCAGTTCTTAACATGGACCGTTAATGCTTAGAAGCCTCTTCCAGGGCTTCAAAAATCTGGTAATTGCCAAACGCATTGCAAAATTTTCACAGAAAGTATTAAAAAAACCCCAAACCTCAAAAAATCCTCAGAAAGCTAGCAGGTCTTTCTTGTTTTGCCTGAAACAACAGAAATGATTTGCCCATCCTGCGCTTTCAGATACTGGCCCATCTGGCTGGTGTCTAAAGGGGCCTTTCAGATTCAAATACTGCACTTGGACCTACTTTAATATGAACACGACAAAGAGATTTGGTTGAGGAAATGCTGGCTTTCAGTAGCAAATGCTAGTGGTCAAAGAGGAGGCAGGGATCCAGCTTTGCAGGCTCTCTTCTGCACAGCTAAGCCCAGAGCCTGCTCTTTCTGCCTAAGGGTTGCATCCGTCTCTGGGTGGGAGCTATGTGTGGGCTCAGGCTCTGCTGGAGTTAAGCCTCAGAGGAGCCCTCGCGGTGAGCAAGGCTGCATTAGACCCCAGCATGTGTTTCAGAGGACTCTGCCTCCTGAGGGCTCCGGAGTGAGCATCCACCCTCTGTTATCCTGGAGTGAGGCCTCTGGGCTGGCGCCCATGGGCATCTGACCACTAAAACTGCCCTCATTTCTGATTTAGGGATGGCTTAGCTAACGGCTTCCATTTCTCAGCCTGGATGAACAAAACATAATTTTGCATGTCAAACTCTAAAAAATCTCTACCCACTTAATACTCACAAGAGAATGCATATTTTCTGGCCTGGGCGGGCAGCTGCTTTGGGCTGAGTCACATCCCTTCAATTTGCTCTTGTTCCTGGACCCTGCTGCCCCGAAGCAGATGATGGAACACGGGGCTCAGGTCAGCCTGTGGCCTCTGACAGGAAGCATCTAGCCTGTGTAGAAGGCCTTATTATCCCAAATTGTTTCTGCTTAAATTCTGAAACACATACAACAACATGTCTGGCAGAAGGAGCTAGTGCTAGTGGTGACTCTGCCACAGTGACGCTTCTGGCCGCGGGAACCCTGTCCCAGGTGCTGCCGTGACGTGAGCCAGTCTGTGGTGGGCAGGGCTCCCCTAACCCAAGCTCAGGGTAGTGACCCCAGCTTCAGGCTTGCTTCTTGGCTTCTTAGTCTCTGACTGGCCGAAAACAATGGCTTTGTTGACCTCCTGCCTCACTCGGGGGGGGGGGGGGGGGGG